TCTATCAGCCAAATACTAGCAAGAGAGCACCAAAAGTCACCAGCTGCCTTACAGGAACAGGTTAATGGTTTGGTTCCAACAAACCAACTGTGCTAAGCAAGTGTGTCCTCCACTCCAGAGCTGAGGTTTGACAGAGATACTCAGGTAGCATCAGGGAGTTGAATAATGTCCCAGAAACTGCTGGAAGTGCTTTGTTAAGGTGACACCTTTACCCTTTCCCCCAGGTGGGCAAAGGCTTATAAATTATAGAAATTATTAAAGGTGCAGATTTGTAAAAAGATTTTAACAGAAATTTAAAATATCAAGCCAAAAAGAGCCCATTTACATCAAAACTGGCATCCAAGGCCCATTTTCCCCATATCCTCTGGCCTAACACATGCTTTGCTGCAGCTGAGTCTTTCTAAGAGCTCTTGTGTGGAGACCAAGGTCAGAAAACATCCAAAGGGAGAGCTCAGAAGACACCCAGATGAGAGCGGGAGGAAGGAGGACCTTGCTGCAGTAAGAAAACCACTGGCCAGCTCAGTGCAGGGGTATAGCCTGCTCATGACAGTGATGAGCAACACCCAGCTTCCCCCTCACAGCCCCAGTAATAACCCAGCACCATCAGCAACTCCGCACCAGCCACAGCACAGAGGGGTACACAACTCCACACACATTCACTGCTCCTGTGTTGCATTCATCTGTCATTGCTATCAGCAATTACAAAAAGCGAATGAGAAAGTAATCAATACAGAGAAACTGATGAAGAAGGAAAAGGGTTACTCACCCTTCATCTACACTAATTTTCAAACACACCATATGCCTGTCACCCATAGCTGTAGCAGTCAACACAGGTAAAGCCAAAAGTGTCTTGACTTTGTTCTCAGCAAACGATGGTTTCTCATTCTATTTCAAATATTAAAAAAACATTTCTGGAATAAGTAAGTGCAAAGTTTTTCCACCTCTGGCTAAGACTGAGGTGAGGGTTTGGCAGCTGTGGAGCCCAAAGCTTTTTTATTTAACATATGCCTGTATAAATAACAATTAAGCTGGGTGATAAGGGCTATACTAATAAACCAAGTCCCAGCAATATTTATTTGTGAAAATACTGCTGCTGCTACATATTTCAAAAAGTAAAAATTTTTTTTCCAATAGTTTTCCTCCTACTTTCTTTTCTATTTCAATATTATTTAAAGATAAATCATATAAGCAATTAACAAGCCTAAGCACAACTGACCCAAATGATACCCAATACCAGGTAGGGGAAAGGTCCTTCCTTTATTTCATAAAGCCTGATTTCTGTCTAGAAACTCTTGTTACAGTGTAGGAATACAGAGAAGTTGTAATAAAAATGAGAGGAGGACCATCTTCTAGGCAACAAATAATTCATTTTCTCCATGTCACAGGTCCGTGGTGGTACTCTGAATATGAGCTTCAGCAGCCTCTAATACTTCTGCCTTGTTTCTCCCTTGGTCAGTCCTCTGCCTTGAGCCAATGCCAAAAAATGAACCTTTTCAGCCTACTTTCCTTTAATTATTTTTTGGCTGATGAGCCACCACAGCACATCAAATGACAACCCCAGGCACAAAAAAGATGCCAGCCAGCTAAGGAGCCAGGCTCAGGAGCCGGCTCACCACATCAGGTTTCTTCTCTCTTGGGCCACTTCCCAGCCAAATGGCTGCTCTTTGTCGGTATTTTCAGTTCTGCGTACGAGTAACCCCATGAGCAAGAATACAGCTGCTGGAGAAACTTCATTCACATCCTACTCCAGAGAGCACAACTTTACTGAGGATCTCTAGTGGAGGCACTCAAATTGGTGGTAATTTGTGCTGCTGTGGACAACAAGGTCAGTTCAATGTATTAATCCTCAAATATTTTCATGTTCCCACCACCTCACATATCGGCTTGGGCCTTCATATTACCTCTACATCCCTTCAGACTTACAGATGAACAAAAAATACACAAAGACAAGGTTCACCTGTTAAAAACAAACAACTCAAACCCACAAAAAAAACTGGAATTGAGAAAAAAAAATTAAGGGTATTTTCTGGTGGAGAGTTTAAGGTAGTAGCACCAGAACTGAGACAGACTACAAACTAGTAATTTACTATAAACACATTATTTTCTAGAGAGTAAAAACCAAGCACTCCAGACTAAAAATGGCAGGAGGTAAGCAATAAAAAAGTTACTAATGCACATTGGCTGTGGTCTTAAAAGAAAAGGTCTCAATCAAATGAGCAAACAATGATTCAGAATGGAAATGATCCAGCTTCCACTGACTTTCAGAGGAGAACAAACAGGCTTGTTATTTATATTCTGTCAGAACAGCAAAAAGACCCTGCTAACAGCTTGGGTTTTTTTTATTTTATTAAAGGAAACAGCTTTACATATTAAGACTGATGTGTGACTCAAATCAGTCGGTTGCCAAGAAAAAGTTAACTGGAGGGTACAAAGAGAGTCAACATGGCACTATCTGTAAATTCACTTATCATAACAATGATATTTTAAAGACAAAGCCCAAAACATATATGCAGATTTTATCACATTTATAAGGATACTTTAAATCTGAAATAGTTGTGTTTCACAGACAGAATAAAAAGTCTGATTAACTTTATTATTACTGCTTCAAAGAGACATGGTTTTAGTTGGAAAACACATTTTCAAAGGTCAGATATGCAATACTTCGTTCACACTCCCATGTCTACGCACAGCTATCACAGCAAATACTTCTTTCTGTAGTTTTACAGCTATAAGTTAACCAATCTTTCATTTGACAATTTACATTATGCATGAAGTTGCGTTTCAAGAAAACCTAAAAGCTCCTCTGAATAAAATGTGACCAGCCACACTTGACCCACATGTTCCTACAGGATGGTAAGAACAGTGAGAGAAGAACAAACTTCATCAAGGATGACAAGAGACAGCTTTAGAGCTCACCAAAATTTGTAGCTGTCTCGCTAGAGCATCATCACTCTCCAAGAAGAGGCACATGTGCCTCATACACAGCCCATGTGCACACCCAGCCTAAAGCTGGCCTTGTGAAAAGAGAGGTAGCTGCAACTTGCAGCCAAAACACAGCAACAGCAGAGCAGTACCAACATCAGCACCAGGGCAAAGGGAACTCCTTAAAAATTACAGACTACGTAGGGGTGTGGGGAAAAATCTTAACCTGAGCTATCTTGGGCTTTCAGGACAAACCTTTGCTCAGGGAAGTGTCCCAACTACAGTTTTGGTTGTGCAATAACAAAAGCAGCTCCCACTGGAATGAAGGACACCTCTAGGCATGTGAGATCTGCCAACAAAGCTGGGAAGACACCAATTCCGCTCACCACAGCAACCTTCAGCTTGCCAACCCATGCAGCATTGCCAATTAATGCAGCTGAGACTGAGCCACCTCTTTTTGGAGGGACTGGGAATTCACAAAGAGGAGGAAGGCACCAAGTCAGAGACTTGCAGAGGATGACAGAGGACCTGGCACACAGGAGCAGTGGTGCTTGTGCAGGAGACAGACCAGCAGGCAGAAGCATGCAGTAGGAAAGGAAGGGACTGAAGGAGGTAGGAAGAGGAGCCACCATCAGTGGCAGCAAACCACTGGGTCTATCAGTGTTTTGTGCAATTTCACTGTTAGTAACTTTGCTTCACAGAGCAACTTCGGGGTTTGCCTGAGGGCAACGTCAGTGGCTGGGGAGCTCTTGCTCTCTGGTTCCTCCAGATAAAGCTAAGATCATGGGAAAGTCTATGTCCTCTGCTTCTAGTGCATCTAAAGTTTTAAACATTTGTTTTCTCTGGAAACAAAACACAATTAAACACTGCACAATATTCTTTCTTTTTCCTTTAGAGAGGCAAATAGATGTCATTCACTCAACGCAGTGGCAATATATTAAATGCAAATATTTTATTTAAAAGACTACACAGCTTGAAACTTAAACCTCGGGGCTGTCCAATTTCACAGTCAACATTTAGACTCTATTGTTTATAATAAGAATGGTATGATCCCCACTTCAGAAGAATCAGAGCAGTTAAAGGTAATAGAAATGTTAAAAAGGCACAAATTTCATATCAGACTCTCAGTTATTCATAGTCACTGCAAGTGACACCAGCTATTCTGTACAGAAGGACTCATACTTCAGGAGTCTTTAACAGGACTACTGATAGCAATAAAACAGACTGTTTCGACTTGAGGATGGGCATTTTTTGCAATCAAGCAGTTTTGGAAATTGAGGAAAACCCCACACACTATCTCTGTGTTCGTAACTGGAATTCTTTTGTGGTCGCAGACAGGATTTAAGAAAATTATGCATGGTTTAGATCCATGGGATTGCATCAAGCATCCAGGAATTTCAAGAGATGCAGAGCTGGTAGTGAGCAGCAGCCCCCATTAAACTATCTGACCCGGCTGGGCATACAAGCCATTCCGTTTCCGTGCTTCCACAGTTCATCCATTGCTCTATATAAATAATATTCTCTTTGCTGAAAAGTTCACATGACTGCACAGTCCGACACAGAACGCGGTCCTGAGAGCTTCTCCTCCCTACAGAGAATTCAGCTGCCCCTCTGGCGTCCAGGAAAAAAGGCTTTGTGAAATTATTTGCATAACCAATACTCCAGCAAGAGAGGATGTAAAGATCAAATCATTTATCTGGACAGTACTTTCACAGAGAAAGAAAAAGAACGTTCAGACGACGGGTGCTGAAACTGAACCCTAACCCTATCCCCGCTCCCACCCGCGTCCCCTTTAAACAACTAATAGTTATTTAATCAGTAGCAGTACACGGGGATAAAGGCAGAGTAATCGGTCTCTCGCCTACGCTGGGGCCAAGAAAAGTGAGGTCGGGCTCAGCCGCACACCGGGCGGGTCCCATCGGGCGTGCAGGGGGTTAGCGGGGAGCCAAGGGTCGGGGTGATGGGGAGCCGAGCCAGGGGAGGCGGAGAGGGGGAGCTGACCCGAGGGTGGGGGTGATGGGGAGCCGAGCCGGGGCTGCGGGGTGCCGCCCCATCCGTGTCCCTGTCCCCGTCCCTACCTTGCGGCGGGAGAAGCTGCGCCGAGACGGCCAGGAGGGCGGCCAGGAGCGCGGCCAGCGCCTGGCCCGCCGCCATTTCCCCGCATGGACCCGGCGCCGAGGCAGGCGCGGGTCCCCTCCGGCACCGCCAACGCCGCTTCCTGCTCCACCTCGCACCTGGAGGGGCGGGCCGGGCTGGGGCAGGTGAAATCCCTCCTCTTCCTCCCGGGTGGCAGCGCTGGCTCGTCCCGGCCCCGGGCGCTGCCTCCGCCCCGGCCCCGGCGCAGCGGGGTGGAGCCGGCTGGGCGGGAGTGCCGAGGGTGCGGGTCGTTGTCGGAGAGGTGTTATTCCTGCTGTGACACCTTGCTCTAAGCGCTTTTCCCTGCCCGTTCCCGGCATCATTAACGCTTACCGAAAGGCTTTCGACTTGTTGGTCACCAAGCTCCCCTCGCCCCCTCGATGAGTGCCCGGATTGTTACCGATGTTACCGGGTACAGCGCCCCTTGCCTGCCGAAGCATCTCTGAACTTCAGAACTTAAAGGCAGCTTAGAGATGGGGACAGATTTTTAGTAGGGCTTGTAGCAATGGAACAAGGGGTAATGGCTTTAAACCACTAAGGCAGGTTCAGACTAGATATAAGAAACAGATAGGAGTGTGGTGAAACACTGGCACAGGCTACCCAGAGAGGTGGTAGATAGCCCATTCCTGAGAACGTTCACAGTCAGGTTGGTTGAGGCTCAGAGCAACTTGATCTATTCAAAGATGTCCCTGCTCCTTGCAGGGGGGTTGAGCTAGATGACCTTAAAAAGGCCTTTTCCAGTCCAAACTATTCTATGTTTGGAAGTGCCACAGAAGTAGGTTCCTCCTAGTGAACAGCAGTTTGTATCCTGTTTATTTAATATCTGGGGACTTCGCAAGGGAAAATTCTGAGTAGAAACCACCATGACACAGTCAGGAGTAGATGTTTGCCCAGTGAGTAAATACCTTAGTAATGTCAGACAGCTCATCTACTGATCCCATGCAGTTGCTTTGGAGCATTTGTTTCTTTGGCAATACCATTACAAAACCAAATACATTTATACTAGCCCACAACAGCACTTGGTTATTGCAGAAATGTACACAGGCATATTCCTGTTCAAAGAAGGAGAAAAGTCAAAATAATATTAGAAGTTCAAGGGCTTTTGCAGATCTGAGACCAAGCTTTGGAGAAGACTGAAGACTCTGCTCTTGCTGGTTTGAGCTGGCAGTAAGGATACTCAGCACTCCCAGGAGATCTTTACATCTCTTTTATAAATAAATCTATTGTACAATGTCTTCTGCAGTGTACATCCTTTTACTCATCTTAACAAAGAATATGCAAAAAAAAATCAGTCTTTAAAAAAGGACAGTATTAATGAGAAAGTAATTAGTCGGTTATATGACTGAGAGAAATGAATGGCTTCGAGTTTTACAGTTATATGAGGAGGAACAGAAAGATTTTTAAGGACTCCAATCAGATTTGATGCCACTTCATTAGTCTAAGGAAATAGGTGAGAGCTAGAGTTTTTATTTTCTCTTACTAGAGAAATAGGAAGGCTTTTATTTTATGTTAATTGCATCTTATCAGACTTCACATTGTCATGAAGTTCAGTACTTTCCCACGGAAAGTAAATCTTATGTCAAATTTATATTACCTCACAGTTCTTTTTTTTTTTCCATGTCAAAACACTGAAAAAACATATTAGACGTCCTAAAATGTATGTGGGTTCATGTCCATTATAATTCTTAACACTATTCTATCATTTGTCATTCTGATGTAGGAACACAGAACCAGAAATCACCCACTGTCTGGCTGCTATTATGTTCTCCATGTCGTCTCTCTGGTTACCAGAATTTCCAAACAAGAATATAATCGTCTAATGTCTTCGTAAGCTCTATAAACATTTTCTGGTCAGGCTAATATCACCTCTGTGAGACAGCTAAGTTCAGTTCCCTCTGATTTGGAGATTATGTGCTGAGAGACAGTCTGTATGACTTTCCTGGTGGGATAAGAGAGTAAGTGATCCTCTGGGGGGTTCAGAGGACTGTGTAGTGATGGCCTGGCTACTGATGAGAGTCACTTCCTAGTAGATTTGGACATCTTCTGTTGCATAAACAGTGTAGATAGCTGGATTAAGATATGAAAATATTTGGCATGGGAAAACATGCAGAAACAACCACTTGAAGTCAAAAAACTTTGTACACATAATTTTATGGGGGAAAAATCACCAACAAGAAGTGATGGCACTTTCCATTGACTTCCTTAAGGCTTGCACAGCTAATGTACTCCCTTACAGTGGCAGCAATCCTGGTTGCTGTTGCTGATCAGCTACAGTGAAGTAGTCAACCTCCATCAACACATTTTGTCTAGACATACCAGGATGCTATAGGGGGGGTGGCAGAGCTAAAGAGTTGTTCCATGTGTTGGTAGGTTGACTGTGGCTGAATGCCAGATGCCCACAAAAGCCACTCTGTCACTGCCCTCCTCAGCTGGGTAGAGGAGAGAAAATATAGTGAAAGACAAAACAGACTTGACTTGGGGAAATTAGTTTATTTTATTACCAATCAAATCAGAGTAGGATTATGAGAAATAAACTCAAATCTTAAAAACACCTTCACCTCATCCCTCCCTTCTTCCCAGGCTCAACTTCACTCCCAGTTTTCTCTGCCTTCTTCCCCCTTGAGTGGTGTAAAGGGATGGGGAGTGGGCGTTGCATCACATGTTTCTGCTGCTCCTTCCTCGTCATGCTCTTCCTCTGCTTCAGCACGGGGTGCCTCCCCTGTGAGACAGTTCTCCACAAACTTCCCCAACATGAATCCCTCCCTCCAGCATGGGTCCCTTCCATGAGATGCAGTCCTTCTGGAACAGACTGCTGCCTGGTGTGGTTCCCGTGCGGGATCACAAGTTCTGCCAGCAAACCTGATACAGCATGAGCTCCTCTCTCCATGGATCCACATGTCCTGCCAGGAGCCTGCTCCAGCATGGGCTTCCATGGGTCGTCTCCTTCAGGCATATCCACCTGCTCCAACATGGGTCCCTCCATGGGCTGCAGGTGAATAATCTGCTCCACCATGGACCTGTTTCACCATGGTCTTCACCACAGGCTGCAGGGGAACCTCTGCTCTGGGGCCTGGAGCACCTCCTTCCCCTCCTTTTCCACTGACCTTGGTGTCTGCAGAGCTGTTTCTTTCATATATTCTCACTCCTCTCTCTGCTGCTGTTCTGTGAGTTGTTTTTCTTTCCCACTTCTTTTCTATGTGTCCCAGAGGTGCTACCACTGTCACTGACCATCTCAACCTTGGCCAGCAGTGGGTCTATCTTGGAGCTGGCTGGCATTGACTTCTAGCAGCTTCTCACAGAAACCATCCCTGCTACCAAATCCTTGCCACACAAGTCCAAGTGTGGAGTACGGTTCAAGTGGAGGTGTATCACTCTGCATGATGATATTCCAGCATCTAGGAGGTAAGAAAGCATGCTCTGAAGGTGAATGCTGTTAAATAGGCACCTTGCTAAAATCAGACTTTTCTCCTCTGTTTACAAAGAGTGAGGACCAGAAGTGAAGAACTGTCACTCTGGTGACAAGAGTTGATGTGCTAAGCATAAAAATAATTTCATCTGCTTTGTTATGACTTCAATTACTTCAACTTTGTTTTGAAGATGAAGAAAAAAGAAAAACTTGAAGAAGAATGAGAGACCTTTCTCCTTTTACACATCTTTTAACCAAAATTCCCTTTGAAATAGTTATAAACTTTCTCTTCAGTTTATTTTCTTGAGAAGGTAAATACTTTTGTGATATTGTCAATTCATCTATGTGTCTATTTTGGCTGATGCAGCTGATGAACAATTCCCTGAGTCTGTCTTTTTATTGAAGACAAAGAATTTTTCTTTAATTCATTCCATCTTGATTTTTTTGTTTCTTAAAACATTTCTGGTTTTCCTCTCTTTTTGGTTATAGTTGTATATCCACAGTGATAGGAAGGATCCTGACTTAGTCGCAATGTAGGTTAAATGTGAAAGTGTTTGTAAGGAGACCTAACATCTCAGGCTGGAGGCGAGCAAGAGCAGCACGTATAATTTTACATTCCTTCCCCCTGCTCTACAGCCATTTCCTCAGAAAAGAACAAGAGTCATCTGGGGCAGATTTGGGGGCCAGCCTTACTGGATGAACTTGAAGTGGTGTGCAAGTCTATGGATTGAAGCTCCCACAGGTTGAAAAATAATTGCATTTGGAATCAGTGTGTACCCACACGCCATGAAAGCTCCATCAAAAACATCTAATTTGGCTTTCAACTCTCATTAGCTTAATGCAAAGTGCCCTGGTCCAGCTGGAAATGGTGTAGAAAATCCTCATTAGCATTATTTGTCATTTTTATGGTATTATTCTTCTGCAAGACTTGAAGTGCTTTGTAGCAGCCATTTCATGAGGGGCAGGTATTGTATTTTACTAGTGAGTTTTACTGACTGACTGACCACAGTAGTGTTAACACACTTCTGAGGAAGGGCTAGAATTAATCATCATGGAAATGTGAATTAAAGAGGGGAATTCAGGAAAGAGGAAAAAATGGATTAAAATACGTACTGGTTCGTCAAAAACAATCCTCTCCCTTGTTTATGGGAAATATTCCTTTCCTTTGCCCATGGGAACCACATCCTTTGCCTGGAAATGCCCTATAAATTACACAGAGCAAGCTGCAAGAGAACACTGAGAAGTTATAAAGGGAAGCATGTGAATTCTGAACTATAGTGGTTTTGAGGAACAAACCTCCCACTTCGGCTTCCTTATCCCCCCATCCAGTGTATGTAACATAGCTAAAGGAACACATCGAAGACTAGGACAGTGTTGTCCCTACCAATTGTTGTCAATTAGAGATTCATTAAAGTAATAACCATAAAGGCACATGGGCACAGAACCTCATGGTCAGCCCAGGGAAAACTTTGCTGAGAAAATATCCAATAACCTCACACTGAGAGACAGACACAGATGAATGTGCTCTTTGTCCTAATGGGAGAATGTTCACTTGAGTAATTTTTAGGTTGGTGGCTTCTACCGTGCTCTGACCCTCAGCACCAAAACAAGCTCGGTGAATGAAATGATGGGATGTGTATTTAGTGCAGATGTCCATGAGGCAGGTGGTAGAAGAGCCAATGCAGCCTTAAAGACAGTAATCAAGATGC